AAAAATGTAAATAATAGATGGAAAAACAAATTACTTATTTTAGTTAGTTGCAAGTTTTATATTTTTTTCTAGGTTTAAGATTAAATACTAAAATTACCAAAACTAATACTGAAAGAAAAATAAACTAAAGCTAAATGGGAATCGTTTAAAAACAAAAAAAAAACAAAAGTGTGTAATTCATGAGTGTTAATTCATGTTGGCTCAAGTGTATTAAATAATATTAAAAGATACAACTTTTGATTTTAATGTATTAGTAACTGTTGAAATTAACTGAAATTAATAAATGCTTTAGAAGTATTGCTAATTTTGAGTTAATGTAGTTAAGTGGAACCATATCATTATTTTATATAGTAAACTGACTGGACAATAAACATCAGCACCAAATTCTCTTTCTAATGAACACATGGAAAGGTCTTGAGCTGCTGAATGTAGAACCCAACATATATTAAGTTTGTTATATTAAGCCATTTATGTTTAAGGTCAAGCAGATTTTACTTTTAAAAGATAGAAGTGGCACCCGTTTCGTGGAATTATCAAATCAATGATTTTCTCTCCGTTTCAGGTTTGATTTGGCTTACATTAATGACAGCGATATATACATACTGTATATGAGCAATATTGTTGTGTTTGCATAGTTGTTACTGCAAAGAATGAACACTAGGGGGAGATATAGAACTAGATAAGAGAGATGGGAGATAGTGATGTGAATTCGGTCTGGATTAAAGTGTTGTTAATCCAAGGAATCCGTGTGCCGTCATATCGCTTATTGATTAGTAAAAGTTAGTTACAGTACAACAAATTGGCGACGAGGTGGTTTAAAACTATATTACACAACAATGGCTACATTGAATGCTCCATTCCCAGACTTATTTCTACCTTGGGAGATTTACTGTTTAGGAACTGAAGGGCAAAGGATTTTTAGCACTTTACCAGAGACTGGAGATACAATAGAGACTGCTAACACTGCATTGAGCACACATTGTACACCTGCCATAAATGTCGTGGTGGAACGTCATAATTTCCGGAAACGAGTGCAAGGCGCTCATGAGTCCATAGTGAACTACAGTCATGGCCAAAAGTTTTGGCAGTGACATAAATGTTGTGTTTTGCAAAGTTTGCTGCGTCAGTCTTTGTAGAGATTCTTTTTCCTCATGTTTCTATGGTATACTGAAAAACAATGATAAGCATATCATAAGTTTTAAAGGCTTTAATTGGCAAAAAAAAAGTATATATAATGAGTCAATATTTACAGTGTTGACCCTTGTTCTTCATAGTGCCTCATCACGCGGGAAGATGCACGGATCGTCACCAAATTGCTCATGGATCGGTGGAAGAAGTCGCTCTTGCAGCACGTTTTGATACCATTCTTTATTCCTGGCAGTGTTTTGGGCAGAATTATGAGAGAGCCCACTCCCTTGGTTGAAAAGCAACCCCACACATGGATGGTCTCAGGATGCTTCACTGTTGGCACGTCACAGGACTCATGGTAGCGTTCACCTTTTCTTCTCTGAACAATCAATTCTCCAGATGTCCCAAACAGTCGGAAGGGAGCTTCATCAGAGAAAATAGCTTTGCACCACTTTTAACTTTCCTGGTGCTTGCTGGACACTCTGGGACGTCCTGAAGACTTCTTCACTGCAGTCGAACCTCTCTCTTGAAGCTCTTGATGATCCGGTAAATGGTTCTTTCAGGTGCAATATTCTTTGTAGCAGTTTCCTTGCATGTGAGGCCATTTTGATGCAAAGCGATGATGGCTGCATGTGTTTCTTTGGAGGTAACCATTGCTAACAAGAGCACAACGACTGGAAGCGCTTCTTCCCTCCTTTTATAGCAATCAGTCTGCTCTTACAATATTAGTATGATAGTGATTTAACCTGACTAGTACTCATTCACACTTTCACATGTGCCGCTTTCTTAGTGTTTTTAGGGATGTGACCAAACAAGTTGTAACTGTGTAATACGGAGTGCTTTCTCAGGCTGTTTTCGATGGACTTTAGAGCCATAAAGTGAGTGAATGATTAATTTCGCTGCAGAAATGAGACTTCAGGTTGGCCACGGTGAACAACGAAGCAGTTTCTCACAGCGACCGGATCAAATATAGATACAAAATATTCAGTAGCTAATAATAACTCTTTAGTAAGTTACCTTTAAGTTGAGTGTTTAGTAGCTGATGCTGAAACGGCGGTGAGGGAGAGTAAAGACCCGCATCATCTCTCCATCTTTTCCGTCTAATGCTTCATTTATAAATTGAATTCATCAGAGGAGCGCATGGTTCGCCAGCGATGGAGGAAAGTAAGGTAAGAGAAACTCTCTTAATGAAAAAACATCAAATAAGCAGCGATTTCATCCGATTCTTCTTTCTCTCTATGACAGACTGATCATGTAACTCCGCCCACAACTCCAAACAAAGCCACGCCCTCTCCGCCAGTATCCACAGAATGGCAGAGTGAGTGAAAATGTTATTTCTGAATGTTAAAAACCTTTTTTTTTTTTTAAATGTTTAAAACGTTTTTCTTGGTTATGTTAACGCTAATATTAACATTCCATTTTACAATTTTGCAAGCATTTTGTGAATGTTCTCGAAACCATGTCAGATGAACGTCCAACTAAAATGTTCCATAAACAATGTATAAAGCATGTTTTTGATGTCAGCATGCTTACTAACTATGCACACAGTGATTGTCTGATAGTCTCAGTCAGTGATTTATTGTAGAGCGCGATGTTATGTTGCTATACTCAAATAAATGTTTAAAAATGCAGGGTAAGTGTCACTAATTAAACAAGTATTCAGCTAATTGTCAGCCTCTTACATGTGTGCTTCTCCTAAACAATTAGCGGATGCACAGCCTTTTAATTAACAGAGTAGAATAATCATGGCTGATATAAGACATGCAAAAGAAAACACAGCACAGCTGTTACTTCTTGCCCAGCTGGTTAATGAAAACAAGGATATAATCAATGGAACATTTGAAGCTGGGATAACCTCCAAAACCAAAGTTGATGCATTTTTAAAAGCTCATTATCGTCAAAAGTTTCTCAAATGTTTGCGTTCCAAGGCAGATTGCCGGCAAGCAACAGCCGTTTCACACTAAAATAAAAAAATTATTCACTGAATTTACTCAATTTTTTTAAGGTAAGTGGTTGCAATCAATTTATTTCAGTGACATTTAAATAAACAAATTTAGTTGACTAACTTTCAACACTTTTTTTATTTAAATGTAGCTAAAATCAATTGTTTGCAACCACTTACCTTAAAAAAATTTAGCATAATTTTTTATTTTTAAGTGTATGATAGTTTGTGGCTTGGTCTTCGTGACTTAGGACGACGCTTCACTACGCCTAACGTTTCAGATTTAGGAGCTAGTTTTAGCGCTAAAATGTAAAAATTTAGGACTGACACGCCCATTATTTTTAAGATTTTCTCCTAAATCGGTGAGTTTTGAGCTACTTTTAGCCTTAAGACGTTTTGTGAATACGGGCCCCGATAACTTTGAATATACATTCTATTAATGTTACAGGAAGCACGTTTGTTCGCAGAACGTTCCTTGTTAGCTGGCCACTACTGTAGTTATTGTTTGTTGATGCAGGTGTTTGTGAGTTTCTGGTTGTATTGTGAGCATTCTGTCTGTTTTTGTCCAGCAGTGGGTTTGAGCAGCCCAGAATTACTAAGAGAATTGAAACAAGCGCATGCGCTCAAACACGTCCCTGCACACACGGGACTGACCACGGTGTTCTGTGGACGACGACGACAGGTGAGACACTATAGGAAATCTACACCACTATAAAGATGCATCTAAAATGAATATTTTATTGTTTACAAAGTTACCATGATTTTTTTTTTTTTCGTTTATATATATTTTTATTAATAATCACAATACAGACAGAAACACACACATACACACACAAAAAAAAAATATATATATATATTTTTTTTTTTATTGTTTTAGAATCAGGAGGCAGAGAGTCGGTCAAAAAACCTGCATTGAAACGGCAGCAATCACAGCGACTGTTCGGCGGGGATTCCAGTTGCTCTGTCATTGGCTGTTTGAGCTGTCTGTCAGTGATTAGCCCCACCCCCTTGGTGATGTGGGCGGGTGGATTGCGTCTCTGTGAGCTGCTGTGGTTATGAGGATCTTCAGTGAACATGTCTGTCATGTTTGTGTGCGAGTATGAAAGCAGTCTGTCAATCTGTAGCGCGTCTGATGTTAAAACAGTGTGTGTGACTGTGTCATATCAGATATTAAATTGTGTGTATATACATATATGTGTGTGTAATGAAATATAGTAAGTCAGCTTTCTAGTAAATGTTCTGGTAAGAGAAGTGTTTGCTCCATATGGTCCATAACCAAGGTTTATTTCATTAAATATTATTAAAAAAAAAAATTTTTACATTTCTATAGGTGACATTTCAAAGATTGATAATTACTATCATGTAATGGTTTTGGCAGTGTTATTTTAGTATCATTGATATACAAAACTAGTTTGTATTAATATGTTGAATAACCTTTTCTGTTTTCTATTTAATTTAATTTTAATAAATTTTGTGTGTCATGGTTTTTTAATGTCTATACAGTTTTTTTATTAGTTATTATTATCATTAGTTTTAGTTATTTTAGTACTTTGAGTTGAACTGAACCAAAATGCGAATTTAAAAAAAATTAAAAAATGTATTTCAAGTAACTTTATATAGTTTATATAGAGTTATTATTCACAATAATAACCCTGGTTTCTGGAAATACTCCATGTTGCGTGTGTGCAAGAACATGCTTATGAGTAATTCATACTGAGAAATGTATTACTGTGTATTCTGTTACAAGTGTAGTAGTTTTACTTCACTCAATGTTCTATTTTAATTCTATTTTTGTTCTATTTTTAATTCTGAAATTCAAATGGCATCCTGTTTGCTGACTCGAATCAGATTCAGGTATTTCCGTGTCACTGAGAGTTCAGCCGACTGAGCGACGCACAGCGGTTCAAAGGTCACGCTGCTCCGAGTGTGTCTCTGATCAATAGGAGCATTAGCCAGCAGGTCGGAGGACGCGAGACGCTTCTGAGCTGAGAATGCCATCTCGTCTGCGTCAGTGTGTGCTGAGCGCGCTCCTGTTGAGTCTGCTGCTGTTTCTCAGCTCTCTGTGGCTGCGTGAGTAAACCTGACCTTTCACACACACACACACACACACACACACAATAACCGTGTGTCTTCTGGTTTTGTCCAGCTCAAGGAACGGTTCAGAGTTGTGAGCAGTCGTGGCGGCCTTGTCTAAGCGTGTATGCGCCAACCAGACAGGTGAGAATCAGGAGCCAGTTGTTCACAAGTAATCTGATCGGATTCTGGCCATCGGATTGGATCAAATCTTAAAAAAGGGATTCTGAATTCGGATTGGATCACGAAATGCAATCTTGTTTTTGATCTGGATTAAATCCTCAGTTTGTGTGGTTCAAAACATTTTTAGTAAGGAGAAAAAAACGGGATTGTTCTGATCCCAGCAGAAGGGTGGGTTTCAGGAACAAAAATGTAATAAAACTTTAAAACTGGTCCAAAAATACAAGGTTTGTAACATGTAATATATTCCCAAATCCCCAAACAGCTGTCAATATCAAACAAAAGTATTATATTTAATTTAATGTTTTGTTTTTTTAATCACAACAATCATCAGAGACGGAGCAGTCAGAAGTAGTTATTTGTGTAAATGCAATGCAAAACATTAGCATGTTTTCCTCCAATCAGCATGTCCCTTTAGGGGCTCCGTAGAGCACTAGTAATCTAGATTTGGAAATCTGGAAAAGTGTGTAAAAAAAAGTCCAGTTTTGCTTTGAAAACCCAGCACGAAAGTAAGATGGGTTACCTGATCCTGTATAGCAAAACACAGGATCTCCAAATCCAGATCATTCTGATCCAGATTACGCTTTATGAGCAACTGGCCCTCGAGGACATAACCGCTGCACTTTAACCCTTCACACGCTGACTCCGACTGTAATGATCAGGTGGCTCCCGCTGCCGTTCCCAAGGAGCTGGGAGGAAATGACATCATCGGAGAATGCTCCGGACAGCAGTTCCAGGTGTCCCGCCTCCTGCTGCACCTAAGCTCCGCCCTCGGCCCCGCCTCCGACGTGCTGCTGGATCCCTATCTGCTCTGCTGGGAGGAGCTCATCAAGTATGACATCAGTACAGCAGGAATTATATTAAGGATGCATCCATCTAAGCCTTTTTTGATGGATCACCAAATATGCTCAAAAAAGAAGGGTTATAAAAAGATGCACTTTTCATGCACTATATTCCACAAAAATGATCTCCATGTGCATAAGCCTTCTGCATTGGAGCCTTTCATTCTGAAGATCATTTAAGTTTAGTCTATTTATATATGCGTTCTATCATTTGTGATGTGTCTAAAAAACGACATACATTCCAAAGAAATGCTATTTATAGTGTGTATATATTTATATAGCAATAACCATCACGATACATTTTAAGAATGTTAACACACATGTAACACAAACAGTAGATTTTTAAATTCAAAATATGTAGCAGTAAGATGTCTACACTCGCATTCACATTCAAAGTTTTGAATTAATTAAATTAATATTAAATTAAATATTTTGGATAAATTAAAATTTATCCAATCCAATATTGGATGAATTAATATTTTGGATTAGTTTTTGTTTTTATATTTTCTGCTTCCCTTTTAATTTTTGTTAAAGTTTACTTAATTTTGCTGTGTTTTGTCGCTTTATATTTGTATTCATTTTTATTTCAGTGTCTTTGTTATTTTAGTGCATCAAGTTAAACTAAACAAAAATTAGAGAAATATTTCCTTGGCAACAAGCTAAAATAAAATAAAAGTACGTTTTTTTTTAATGTTTTTTTATGAAAAAAAATTTATTTTTATTTGTAGTTTTTATTAACTATAATAAATCTTGGCTATTGGCTAATATCTCTCTCTCTATGTTGTACCGTTTTCTCTTTAATTATAATGAAGCAATGTGTAGTAGCAGTTAACAAGGTGTAGATATTTTAAACTGATCAAGAAAAAAAAAACAGTTTAACTGTAATCAGATCGGTATCGGTATCGGCAGATAATCGGTTGCGTGTCTGCAGTGAAATCGGGATTGGTCGGTCTCACACACTGATTGTGTTCTGTGCTGCAGGTTTATGGAGGCTCTGGGCCCTCTGGTGGGCTTTTTCACTCATAAAGTTGAGGAGAAGATCACACTCATCCGACAGCTTTCGCTGGAAGAATCCGCCAGACTGAACGCAACAGCCGATGAGCGTGTAGCCCCGCCCCCTCCGCACGCCTACCGCTCCGTGCGATCCATGCTGGAGGCGGAGCTTCAGAGGGGCGTGGTCTCATTCGACACGCAAACGCCCTCCGGCAGTCGGACTTTGCTCCGCCTCCACCGCTCGTTGCTATGGCTACAGCTGCTGCTGGAGAGGCTGGGGACGGAGCGCGAGGGGCGGAGCCTGGGCGAGCTTTGCCGCGATGCATACCTGGAGGTTTTAGCGCCGCATCACCCCTGGCTTGTGCAGCGCGCGGCGGAGCTGGTGTTTCACGCGATGCCCGACCGCAGCGCGTTCCTGCAGCTGGTGTGCGTGCGCACGCAGGAGGAGGCGGAGCCTGTCATGCGCGTCGTCGTCGCAGCAATCCGCGAAATTCACCGACGGACTCAGAAAGAGCTGGAGATCAGAAACATGTTGGACCTGCCTTAACACACACAAACAAACACTCCCGCGCAACATGAGAAGGATTCTGAGGATGCTTTAAAAATGTGTAATATAGCCTATCTATCTATTAATATTCTAATGTAAGAGCGGCTATTTGTAGCTTGAATGTGCGAGACTTCACGTGTCCTTCACGTGTCCTGACCATAGACTGTATAAAAACATGGACGTAGTGTCCGTGACGTCACCCGTAGGTTTCCGAAGAGCGTTTTTGAAGCTCAAAAGTGGGCGGAGCCGGCCGTCGCCATCTTGGCAGCGCGTCACTCCCGGATAATCGAAAATGGGCAAAGAGGCGGAAGCAGGTTGCTGAAGCCACGCCCACCTAGCTCAACAGTGGTGACAGCGGCGGCAATCCACCTGTCACTCAAGTGGCCACGCCCTTCATTATGCAGAATTTTAAGGCTTAATATAATTTAAACGGATGAGTTATAAAAAAATTCACCCCCCCTCACAGTTGTCATCAAGGGCAAAATTAGCTATATAGACCAAAATAATTTTTTGTACCAGGCTGTAAACGTTTTTTTCTGCTGTAAAATTGGGCATTTTAACATGAGGAGTCTATGGGATTGACTCACTTTTGCAGCCAGCCTCTAGCGGCCAGTCGATGAATTACAGTTTAAGTCACTTCTGTGTTGGTCCTGACATTTTATCCTAGCCGCCAGATTTTCTTCCCAGGGATTACTGCGCATGCGCACATCAATATTGCGTCATTTTATCTCATGCTGAACAACATTTGCATTACTGTAAGGGGTAGGTGTAGACGGTAATAAACCATAATTTGACAGGTAGCATTCTTCGTCGTCAAACTGTACTACCTACTTTTTTTAATGGGCGGTAGCAAAATCTGACAGGGTTTTCACAGACACAAATCGACAGAACACCGGCCGGTCTCAGTTATTTTACCTGTAGCCTACAAAACAGCTCGTGCTTGATATTGCAGACTGGCATTTTGATATTATATTATATTAATTGATTATCATATTCGTGAAAATGCTGGTTTGCACTGCAGTGCAAATAGTTTTACCGTTTACTGCACGGTTATTCCCCTTATAGCGGCTAACGGACCGGAAGTCTCGCACATTCACAGAAAATCGCTTACTTCCGTGTTGCAAAATAAGGTGGGTATTATGTATCCTAATATATAACATTTGTGTGATTCTGTTATGTTTTTACATTTTTATTAGTGCTGGGCAATGATTGATTAATCGCGTCCAAAATAAAAGTTTTTGTTTATATAATACAGCGCATATTTATTATGTATATATAAATATACACACACATACAGTATATAGTTTGAAAATATTTACATGTATTTATTTATATTCATAGCATTTATATATAAATATATTTAATATATAAACGACATGTTTTTCTTAAATATATACATGCATGTGTGTGTATTTATTTAAACATAATAAATATACACAGTACACACACATATATAAAGAAAAACTTTTAATTTGGATGCAGTTAATCGTCGACCAGCACTAATTTCTATATGTTCTTATGGGAAATATTGAGTGATTTTGGCCCTTGCACTGGTTGCTAGGCTCCTCCCAGTGTATTTCATCTCGTTGCTATGCGGTTGCTAGGCGTTTTCTTCCTGTCTGGTGTAAAAAAGAGTCTGAGTGTTCTTCTGGTCCAGCAGGTGAAATGTTCTCGTCTCTCATTTGTTCACTAGATGTCGCTGTGGTCCTAGTTTTATTAAATTATTTATGAGCAGGTTATCAGGGAAATCTCAAATCTCATTAATAGGTCTTTACACATTTATACAAACGCTTACATTCTAAGGAAGAAAGATATTACTTCACAAAATCATCCGTGTTTGTTGCTCCAACAGTGTAAGACATTAAAATACTCAAATGAAACAATGTTACGGGTTGCTCTTTCAAAGCTCTGTAAATGTAGCAACTTTCAGATGTTTCTCCTAAAAATGCCTTGTAGGGTAAATGCAAAACAGACACATTTATGTCATTATTTGTCATGCAGTAAGAGTATAGAGCAATAAAATGGATGTTTAAAGCAGCTCAGATCATTTAATCTGGGTGGAATTTGATGATAAATGTTTCAGTTTACAGACTTTAATATCTTGTCGAATCTGAGCACAGTTTGAGCCGCTGTTCAGATCTCTTCTGGAACTGGATTGTTTCTTCTATTGGGATGTTTTTCTCAAGGGAAAATCTGTAAAGCAGGAGCAAAAGTCTCCACTTAGTCTCAGTGTTTCTCAACTGGTGGGTCATGACCAATAAATGTGCCACAGGTCTGATCTGAAACCATGATGAATGCAAACGAGAACACGCAACTAGTAAAGCAAACAGACTTATCAGGAAACACTTCCCGTATCTTCTGTGGCTGATGCCAAAGGTTGTGTTTCCAATCAAACCCTCCTCCACTAGTTCAGAACAAATGCATGTGCTAGAAACTAAATTCAAGTGATGTTTAATAAACCAGACACATTTGGTACAGTGTTGAACGCCACTTGATGACCAATGTGAAATCAGAGTCCTAAAGCAAAACCAGTTGAGAATCAACAATCCCAGAAAAACAATTGAGATTTTAAACAGTTTTTAGGATCAGATCTGGAATTACAGCTGCCGGAGCTTTTGCCAAAATCTCATTACATAAGATGATAAAGCTCTCGGTCATCTCGGTACATCATTCATATACATTTGTCTTTGTAAAAAAAAAAAAAATTGCATTCATGTTCTTCATATCTCGTCATAATTTCATATTATGGCTTCATATTGCAATGCATAAAATATATGTATGTATGTTTGTGTTAATCTGTAGTCATTGCAATTTGCAATTTTGAAACAGAAGTGCATGGCATGCATTTAGTTTGAAATAAGACCTCATAGGCAAAAATGTTTGTTAAACACAAAATGTTTTTATTTCCTGTTTCCATTTTTCATTTATAATGATAATCATTTGTTTTTCGAATATAAGTTTCACAATTTTCATGTCAGGCAATATATAACAGTATATTCAGGATATTTAATAAGATACATCTAGTTTCTGAGCAGTGTTTTTACAGAGAGTGAAGAAAGAATAAGACACCGTCTCACTATGAAGGACAGATGAGAAACCGGGATGAGTCTGTGAGCTATAGAAGTCATCCGGCGAGAACTCAAAGTGACGAGCGTGTCGCGTTATTGGTCTGGAAAGAAACACAGACGGGGACAAAGAGTGTGTGTGTGTGAGTGAGTGGAAAGCTCTCGAATGAGGCTCTTGTAGCGCAGGTGTGTTTGCCGTTGCCATTGTTTGTGTAAGCACGTGTTTGTCGCTGTCTCATCGTTGATATTGTCCGAAGCGTGTAGGCGTTATTGAAGCTGTAAATGTGCAGTCACATTTGTGAAATTTCGCAGGCAAAAAACACCAGTCACTTAAAAACCAGTTAGCTTTTTATGGAAGCCCATTTCTTCCTTGTAAGAAAAACAAATCATGCTTTGTAAATCATAATTATGAGATAAAAAGTTGGAATTATGACATAGTCATAATTATGAGATAAAAACGTGAATTTATGACTTTATAAGTTGAAATTATGACTTAGTCATAATCATGCCGAAGACTCATAATTATAAGATCAGAAGTCAAAATTATGACTTTAAAAGTAAAAATTGACATACAAAGTCGAATATGAGATAAAAAGTCGAAATTATGATGTGATGTCATAATTATGACTTTAAAAGTCACAATTTATATACCAATTCATAATTATGAGATAAAAACCTAATTATGAGACAAAAAGTTTCTGACTTTATAAGTTGAAAATGTCGAAATCGACATAATGTCATAATAGTCGTAATTATGAGATAAAAACTTTAATTTATGACTTTATAAATTGAAATGATGACTTAGTCATAATTATGCCGAAAACTCATAATTATAAGATAAGTCAAAATTATGACTTTAAAAGTCAAAATTGACATACAAAGTCGAATATGAGATAAAAAGTCGAAATTATGAAGTGATGTCATAATTATGACTTTAAAAGTCACAATTTATATACCAATTCATAATTATTAGATAAAAACCTAATTATGAGACTAAAGGTTTCTAATTTTAAAAGTTGAAATTCTGATTTAAAGTCATAATTATCACGTAAACAATCATAATTATGAGATAAAAAGTCTAAATTGACTTTCAAAGTCAAAATTTACATATTAAATCATAATTATGAGATAAAAAGTCAACACTGATGTAAATCACAATTATGAGATGAAAGGTTGGAATTATGACTTTAAAACTCAAAGTTGACATACCAAGTCAATTATGAGATACTATATCAAAATTATGACATAAAAAGTCATGATATAAAAAGCCGAAATTATGACTTCAAAAGTCGAAATTACGACATACTTAGTCATGATTATGAGATATGAGATGATTTTGATTTGAGACTATATCGATTTTTTGCCTTTTTTAATCTCATAATTTCAATTTCTAAAATTTCAATTATTTATCTCAATTTAAATTATTAAATTCATGATTACCACACTGAAAGTCATAATTTCATCTCATATGACCTAAACTTGATTTTTTTTCTTACGTGGTGGGAATAGGCTTCCATCGCTTTCTGTTGGTCAGCGCAGGAAATTTATTCTGCCTTATGCGAAACTCTGTGTTACTATTGAGATGACTGGATTTCGCCTGCAAAATTGCGCTGAGCAACGTGACCACATGACCATGACTTAACAAGTGAGATCACTGATGACTTCATGTGCTGTTTCCATGGTAACGATGTCCCAAATTCCTGTCTGCTTGATTTTTCGTCTTACGGAAATGAATAATGTGCGTGATCTACACTTGCGGTGGCGACATGCTAATACGCATCGCTGCAGTGTCTAAAGTACAGAAATCGGAAATAATGTGCAACAATTCGATTTACCATATCTTAAAAACATATAAAATCTATGACGTAGAGCAGTCAGGCAGCACACGCGAAGTAGATCGTAGTAAACGTACTGCGGGCAGCGTAAGTTTAGCTAGTTATTAGCCACCGCTCTGTGTAAACATTGAACCGATCCCAACATCAGGCCGTAAATTGTGTGCTGATGTGTGACGGATGGACTAGTGACATTAATTTGAAAGTTTGGCTGCGTTTGGCTCTTTTTTTTTCCCCACACACTTTTCTAACACACACCCTCCAATGTTTCAAACGCACAACACTGTGGCAGTAACCCAATAGAAACACAGCACATTCACTACTGGGGGCGGAATAAAGGAACACAAAAGAAAAACTAAACACAGACAGGCCACCCGCGCGTCGACGACGGCAGGCTAGTGGTTCGCTAATAAGCACTACGCTAATGTCTCGCTCACAAATCAGGAGTCTGACTTGTCCGTTCGACTCGAATCCCCCTGAACATCCAAATGTCAAATCACATGATAAAAGTCTAAGATTCTACCAAAGCTAAGAAGAAACGAACTAAAGTTTCGAGAAACATATGCAGCTAATGTTTGCGTCATATTTCCGCTGTGCTAACGGGCGCTAACCCATGATGTGCTCAACAACAAATAAATTAAAAAACACTTTTTGGGAAGAAAACACATTTGTTCATTCATCTACTTGGATTGGCAAATTTTAATCTTAATTGAAGTTTTTTTTCACGCTTTTCTTCGTAACTACTCTCTTTGTTACCTACCTCAGATTCTGCATTATTTACAAGTATTAACAGTACACTCACGGACCAGAAGGTATTGCTGTGTACACGTTTAGAAAGATGGGTCGAACCGTTCTGGACGAAATATGTTATCAGTCGATTGGGCAAATTAATTAATGGCGAACTGATATGGCGCAGCTTGAAGCTGATTGGCTAATGTGCAGAACGTCAGCCAAACGTTTCGGTTTAACTTCGCTTGTGTGTGTGTGCATTCGTGAACATTACAGTGTTACAAAAGTGTCTTCACAAACGTTGTCATATGTATATAAAAAATAAAAACCACAAATCCGATAAATAAATAAATGAATAACATTATAAATGTACCTTAATTCGTAAATAAATAAATGGATATAACAGATATCAAGTTAAGAGAACGATATGTGACAGATATGAGTCGATTACAGTCTGTGACGATTTTTATGGCTCTGTTTGTTAATTGATCATATATGCGCATTTCTACAGATGATCCTGAATTTGACCAGATTTTACCTAATTTGTGTTGTTATACGCTCAGTAACATAAAAGCCATTATATAGACTTAACGAGTGAATCCAGGTCACATTTTAGATTGATATCAAAAGAAAAAGGTAAGAAATTATATTTTGCATACAGAAAATTAAGCCTATTTTAAATTTTTCACATCATGGTGTTATTTTCCTATATTTTGGGAGTACATTATATAATATAATTTCTTGGCAGGTTTTGGATGATTGTGGTCCCTCTGAATTAACTGGATTGTTCGTGATATTGTGTCTAGAAATCTAGAAAGGCTTGATGATGTTTTCCTGCTCTCTTGATTTCACTTTGGAAGGGTATCAGCTGGATATGACGACAGTCAAGAGTACTCAAAACACACAGAGATACAAAGACACACACACACACACACACACACACACACAGAAACCATCGTGTAGACAGGAGAATGGGGACGGACAAATACATTTAACACTTTGAGATATGAAGGACTTCTACCATCTCCTGAGTGTGTGTGTGTGTGTGTGTGTGTGTGTGTGTGGCAGATGCAGTTGCTCTACGCTTTGTTGATGCGCAGCTTGAAGATTACGCGGCCGGCGAATTTGTCTCTTTCGCTGATCTTGAACTGAGTGCTAGAGTTGATCTTACACTCCACATTGAAGTCTGTGTTGAAAGAGATGTCTGTGAACTTCACAGCCACCAGGGGCTGAGAATAATTCACCTGAAACACATGTAGAGAGAGCAGTTACACACGGATATAATCACACAGTGTGTGTGTGTGTGTGTGTGTGTGTGTGTGAGTGACTGTGTGTGACCAGTCTTCTAGTTGACCTTGTGGACCTTGATAATTGTGTGTGTGTGTGTGTGATTGTAAAGGAAAAGCCTTTAAGTGTTTGTCAGTGACATGATGTCTGGAGCTGTGCTCTCTTGCCGTAGTATGGATAGTACATGAGGTTGAAGGTTCCGTTTTGAGGGAAGTATTCAACTTCAGCATTGGTTTCGTTCGTCTGAGCCATCTTCTGAGCCTTGTGATGTAAATCAATGAGATCTTTATAACAGTAGAGCAGATACTGACATAAAATTATCTAAATATCAGTGATCGCTCTGTATCTCCAGTAATAAGATGAGATTGAAATGCTCCAAACATATAATGCAGTGATTGAGAGCTGAAGAAATAAAGTGAGCTGCTTCAGTCCAGTAAGTGTTCATCTGGAGATATTACTGCAGTTATTCTGGCGCTTACTTGATCAAAATCAGTCAAGATTTGACACGAGAAGCTCCAGCTGAAGCTGGACGCTTGTACAATTACACTAAAAGAGCTTTGACTGGATAAAACACTCTAAACTATCCATCAGAGACAGAAGACATGAGGAGATTGATCACGTTGATCTTTTAGAAGTGATGCAACACTACATGTCTACTAACCACAGAATGCATGAGAGTTAAGCACTAGTTAGGGCTGTACTGTACTAGTTTAAGATGTGCACTAGTCTAAGGTTAGGGATGCTAAGTGTGCAGACTAGTCTATTTCTTACCAACTCGTCTCCATCTTTATATCCCTGAGTATGGAGGGATGCATTGAACAAACATTACAGATGTAATTCATGCTTGACTGGCTGTTAGTGATGAGGGTTAGCTGAAGGTCAGGTAAGATCTTACTCACCTTTGCTGAACAGGAGACGAATGGAGACTTTTCATCATTACTTGGCTTCAGCCCAATCACCTGCAGGAGTAAACGAAGCACCTTCATCATCTTCATTCAGCTTTCAGACCAAAGGTAACTGATCTGGTCTAGCTAATGATTTCTGATGCTATTTGCAGCTCGAATTTGTGTTTGTATTATTGGCTGTATCCTAGTTTTCATAAACCGAAAACATTTGGAAAAAAATGTTTCTGTCCATTTTGACAGAACTCAAGTAAAGTGCAGATTGCACAAAATATTACTGAAGTACAGTAGTGAAGTACTGTTATTAAAATACTAGCATTATTTAATTCTATACTAATGCTAATACTAGAATTTAAATTCTATGTTTATGCATTTCTAAACAACTTCAAATTTTAACTCAAACTGTCCAAAGAGGACCAGCACAGAAGAGCTTGTTATTTACGGAAGCTTGTTTCTGCCGTGGACAGGAATACAAATGTAATTGTGACTTTTCAGCTCATAATTCTCACTCGTTTATATCTCTCAATTTGGACTTTTTTTCTTAGAACTACAAGATATAAACACGGAATTGCAAGATGTAAACTCAGAATTCAGAGAAAAAAGTCTGAATTATGAGATATAAATGCCGACTTATGAGGAAAAACGTCTGAATTATTAGATATAAATGTCGAATTATGAGATGGAAATGTAGAATTATGAGACATAAATGCAGAATTCTAAGGAAAAAAGCCAGAATTTTTATGATATAAATGCCAAATTATGAGGTATCAAAGTCTGAATTACTAGATAAAAAGTCACAATTATGATTTTATATATAATTATGATATATAAATGCAGAATTATGAGATATAAATGCAGAATTATGATGGGGGGGATCTGAATTATGAGATATAAATGCAGAATTATGATGGGGTGCCACGAAGCACACACACAAGGAACGAGGAGACGCTGGAGAATACTTTACCAAAATTTTATTTTTGAATTCTGAGATATAAATGCAGAATTATGAGGGGGGGGTCTGAATTATGAGATATAAATGGCGAATTCTGAGATATAAATGCAGAATTATGAGGGGGGGGTCTGAATTATGAGATATAAATGGCGAATTCTGAGATATAAATGCAGAATTATGAGGGGGGTGGTCTGAATTATGAGATATAAATGGCGAATTCTGAGATATAAATGCAGAATTATGAGGGGGGGGTCTGAATTATGAGATAAATGGCGAATTATGAGGCGGGAAAAAAAATCTGAATTATGAGATATAAATGCAGAATTATGAGGGGGAAAATCTGAATTATGAGGTATAAATGCAGAATTATGAGGGGGGAAATCTGAATTATGAGGTATAAATGCAGAATTATGAGGGGGGAAATCTGAATTATGAGATATAAGCGATCTCATATGTAAGCATATGCATATGAAAAATAATGCGATCATCAACAATAACCGCATATATAAATGAAAACCACCTAATGTTCCCGAGTGAAATGTGGATCCAGAAAGGACTGTGAAGCTTTGGGAGTGCTGATGGAAGCCATCTACTGCAGCTTTGCTTTGATAATATTACTGAATATGATCCAGATGCAGTGTTTGATACAAATGTGATTTTCTCAGCTTTTTGCTCAAAATTTAGCTTTTTTTATGAAATCTACCTACATTCAAGTGTTGATAAAAAACAATGCTTGAAGCTAAAATAAAACTGATTTTTCTTGTTTGAAAGTAGAGGGTCTGATCTTTATTTGATGTATTGCATGTTCAGATATTGATACAGCAAAATATTCTGGTGGCCATGAAATTTGAGTGAAAATCAGCAAAAATGCTGGCGGTGGCTGGCAACTTTTTACAATAACGCTGGCGGGGAAAGAGTTAAAACATGTTTGTAAGCTGAAATAAAGCTGAAATATAAATATTACATTAAAAACTTAAACTAAACGAAAATCTGTGTTATTTTAGTATAATTGAGATACTGTTGTAGTTTTTGTTATTTTGAATTAGATTTCATTTTTATAGTTGCTGCTTTCATGTCAATATTAGTTAAAGTTTTAGTAATTATTAATTTTATATTTCATGAAAATGAAAAATGTTGCAATTAGCTGAAATAAAATAAGTTAGTTTTATTTTATTTCAGTTAACTTTTTTTATCAAGTAATGGAAATCAATTTTTATGGTTTTAGATTTAGTTGACTATAATAGAAATAGGAAATGTTGCCTCGACAACTAGAATGTAAAAAAAAATTTTTTCAAAGTTGTAAACAAAGATTATTGGAGTGCGTTTTACAAGAAAATTCTGTTTCAGTCTTTTTACTTCAAAATGTTATGTTTATTTAATTTACCTGCCATTTCTGCAAACTGGAAATAAAATTTAAAACTTAATCTATAAAAATAAAAGGAAAAAAAACATGAAAAATGACTCATAAGAAAATCACTAATGATTAAACTGAAATTAAAATGAAAACTGAACATATAAAAATTGTAACCTATATAAAAATATTAATGAAACTATAATAAATAGCACTGGCCTTTAGAATTATACACTGTTATGATATTTATATGGTGATTATTGTCCTTTTAGGATTTTTAGGAACAGATGTTGTATGGATAAGATGGTAAGAAGATTATCCAGAAATTCACATTTTCAGTTCTACAGATGAAGGAAAGTCATGGAACGACATGAGGGTGAGTAAATCAGTGTTTATTTATAACGGAATTATTCCTAAATCACAGATACTTGACATTGTTTTGTGATAAACTGCAGAGTAACAAATTTATATTTCTATTCATGCATTTGGTAGCTGCTCTCCTCTAAAGCAACTTACATTGCATTGAAGGCATGCATTTTTTTATCAGTTTGTGCATTCACTGGGAATCGAACCCATGAGCGTGGTGTTGCGAGCACCATCTCTTCCATATGAAAATGCACACATCGACTGTGATTGTGAGTCAAAAATGTACCAATTGCAAAATCATTGCATGTTGTTTTGTGTATTTTTTTAATGAAAATCTGTCTTTTTTTTACTTACGTGCAAGGAAGTTGTCCAAAGCCTGAATGTATGAATCCCAGCTCTCTGTTTTCTCCACATTATAAACGATTTCTAGAGGATCGCCTTTTGGCTGAATCATCACGCCTAGAGAAACACACAGAATCAGTGTGTGTGTGTGTGTGTGTGTGTGTGTGAGTGTCTGTCAGTGAGTGTGTGTGTGTACCTGGTGTAGCCAGACGGTCTTGCCAAGTGGGCCGATAATCATCCAGCGTCAGCAGCATCACATACATGGTGAGACAGAACATGCCAGCCAGAAATGTGTAAAAGATCAGATAGAACAACAGAATCAGACCTGCAGAACACACACACACACAGAACATTAGTTTCACCTGCTACATCATGTTAACATCATTGTCTGTGATAAGCTACCAGTGTTGAGGAGAGTATCTTAAAGGAACAGTTCACCGAAAAGTGAACATTTTCTGAAAATGTGCTCACCCTCTGATCATCCCAGATGTAGATGAGTTTGTTTCTTCATCAGATTTGTAGAAATGTAGCATTGCATCAGTGTCTCACTGCAATTCAGACCAGAACACTTTTTCACTGGAGGAAGAGTTATTATGGATTATGGACTCTATGGTATTTTGAGTTAAAAGCGTCTTAATGCTGGATTTGTTTCAGCTTTTGTCTTCTCCAGATGTTAACTGATGGACTGGAGTGCTGTGGATTACTTGTGGATTATTGTGATGTTTTTATCAGCTGTTTGGACTCTCATTCTGACGGCACCCATTCACTGCAGAGCATCCATTGCTGAGACACATCTCGGACGGCCTGAGAGTGAGCACATTTTCAGAAAATGTTCACTTTTGGATGAACTATTTATTTAACATAACAGCCTAACAAATTAATATAGTGACTAAAATATAATATTTGGAATGGTTAAATATGTTGTTTTTAGCATGTCATTTTGTTAGATGTACTTCATCTGTGTATCATTATATAAATATATTGATGAATTTTACAACATTAAAAGATTATTTGACGTAATTGTTTTGCTGTTTTGCTGATTCTGATTGCTTCTATTGTCCTCATTTGTAAGTAGCTTTGGATAAAAGACTAAATGTAAATGTATCTGTTTTAATCTAGTGGATATGTGTAGAGAATCACATTATCATCAAACACACGACCAATCAGAATCCAGTATTGTGTGTCATAACAGAGATGAAGCGGTCTGTGTTTGTGTGTGATATCGAGGCGGTGAACGTGACCTAGATTCTCTCCATTCACTCCATCTTCGTGTCATCCGTGTGTTTCTCATTCGTCCATCACTGAGCAAATGTCAGGACAGACTGAGGAATAAATCCTCTTACACTAAAACCACTGCCTCCTCCAGCTCTATCTCTCCATCTCTCCATCTCAGTCTGTCTCTCTCTCTCTCTCTTTACATACTCTACTCATTCTGTTACATGCTGTCTCTCTCTCTCTCTTTCATTTTTTTACAGCATTATTTTCTATCTATTTGAGCTCTTTGTCTGCTCTCTCTCTCTCTCT